ATTGAAGGGATTCCTGGTAGCCCATACCTTAAACAAATACTAAAAATTGTTCTCATGAGAACAGCCCATACCCTACGAAGGGATTTTTCTATGTAAAATATGTTTTTTTTTAAATTGCTCAATGGAAAATGCCATGATGCCATTTCTGATCTTAGGTCTCTGGTTGGTACCCGGAAACAAATGAGTACACACCAGAAATCAAAGAAGATAATAATAATAATAATAATATGGGTCACAAATATTAATACAAATCAAAATAAAACAATATTAATAAATACTACAAATAATAATAAAGATACGAATAATAATGTTAAACATCACAAACAACATCAAACAGCATGAAGAATTACAAGAATAATATAAAAAAAATTGCAAAAATAACATGACAGTCGGGAATATCTGCTCAGCTCATTCTGAAGCCCACCTCATAGAGAGGTATCGCTTTCCGGATCAATCGCCACCGAAAACTGAGGTTCGATGAATTAATTCGCTGTGAGGTAAGTTTAAGATGAGACAAATCAAAAACCAGCATTCCCCATCCCTCCTTCTAGCCTTGTGCCATATTTTTGTATTATACAAAATAAATCTTATTTTCCTGTATGATACCTAAACTTTATGAATTTAAACGCAGCAACAGATTAACAGCGAGCTCTCATCATTTTACAGTTAAGATGGTTACATGTAACCCTAAGTTTCATGCTAACAGTTTCTTCTATCGCACTTCTCACTTGTGGAACTCTTCTGGCATTTTGCTTCCCAGTGAACTTTGACCTTCAAAAATTTAAATGCAATGTCAATCGTTATCTTCCGTCTTTTTAATTCTTCTTTTATCATAATTATAAGTATTTCAGTGTAAATTTGAAAAAAATCCCACCCCCAGGTCCAGAATGAGCTCTCGCCGAGCCGCCGACACAGTGGTTCCGACGCGACCCATGTCCACGAGTTCCCGATAGAATATCCTCCTCGGCCGTGAAAGGTCACTGGACCGCGGAGCGGCAATACAAGGCCGTTAGACATTCGTGGAAGAATTCGAAGTGTTTCCGGGGTTGATGACATCATTCAACTTCAACTAGGAGTGATGCTAAAGTTAGGGAAGAAGACCCGAACCTTCATCGCTGGACTGCGGAACGATATTTTTCGATGCTTTGAGTCCTTTTTTATATTCAAAATAAGTTTTACAACGATCGCTAGTTAAGGAGGATTTCTTTAGTAACAAAGAAAAGAGTGCTGAACTGCTATGTGACATCTGTCATCATTTAAGGCAGCGAATGTTGGACGGTCTCCTCAAATATAAAGAAGAGGTTTGAGGCAACGGAGGTATGGTTCTACAGAAGGATGCTAAGTGTATCATGGACAGAGCGTGTGAGTAACGATGAGGTTTTGGAAAGGATGCAAACAAGGAGAAAGCTTATATTAACATGAGGAAAAGGCAGCAGCAATTTCTGGGACACGCTCAAAGGAATCCTCCTGTCTTGTAATACTCGGCCTAGCTTTTGGAATGCGTCTTTGGCCAAACATCTTCGGATCTCAGCGTCGCACTTACCGTCCTCTGTCAAAAACACTTCCCAAATATTTAAATTTTTCAGCACCTGCTTGATTTTAGTGTCCCAGACTTGTAAATCGTAGTCCGAGGTTATCCTTTTACTGATTTATAAATTATAATAAATGTATATATATATATATATATATATATATATATATATATATATATATATATATATTGCTTAAAAAAAACTAGAACATTACATATCTGTAACGTGCCCCGTGGACGAGATGTTAAAAGCTCAACAGGTGAAATGGTGGGGGGTTTTTTTGTCCAAAAAGGAACGCAAATTCGAACGCTGCCTGAATGTCTATTTTTTATGTGTCGTGTCCCTTCAGGGTTAGGCGATCATGGCTCTCCATTTCTCCCTATCATCTTTGGGGAGACCGTCCAACAGTACTTCTTTGGATCTCAGCGTCGCACTTACCGTCCTCTGTCAAAACACTTCCCAGTTATTTAAATTTCCGCGCCTTGTTGAGTTTTGTTGTCCCTGACCTGTAAATCGTATTTCGGGGTATTCTTTTACTGATTTATAAATTATTATAAATGTACATATAAATATAAAAATGTATATATTGCTTAAAAGTGAAAGTAAAACACTACTTATCTGTAACGTTCTTCGTGGACGAGCGGGCTAAAGCACAACAGGTGAAATGGTGTTTTTTTGTCCAAAGAGGAACACAAGTTCGAATGCTACCTGAGGCTCTATCTTTTTATATGCCGTGTCCCTTAAAGGTGTAGGCGATCATGGCTCTCCACTTCACCCTATCTCTTGTAGCTCTCAATAACTTGAGTTACCGAAGGGAAATAACTAAAACGGATATATCCAGAGAAGGCATGGCACGTGGAACTAGAACAATCTACCCCGATGGACGGAATAAAGTGATTGGTTCGAAATTCCAATGTATATCACCTGAAGAAAGCCGGAGTGTACAACGGTCGAAACGTCGTGAATATCGCTAAAATGACGAGGACATCAGAACGAGCAATGTAAATAGTATAAGTCGAAAACTAGGTAGGGGAAACAAAGAAGAAGAGATTTAATAAATACTCGAGCAAATTAAATACTTCTCAAAACCTACTCTAATGTAGCTACTTACCATATATATAAGTAGGAACAGTCCATTGATAAAGTAGTAGAGAAGGAATAACGAGAGGTTCTACTCTAACAAATAATACAGCTAACTAATTATAATTTAATACTGAAATAATGTCATTCTCTTGAAGTATTTATAAAGTTTGAATTTATATATTTATGTTTCGGCATTAAATAACCCACAAAGGTGTTGATATTCCGCTAAAAAAACAACCAAAGCATAATATAATGACTGCTGGTAGTAATTAATCAGAGCTCAATGCAATATGGCATAATTAAAACTTATATAAAAATAATTATATAGATGTTTGTCACCATTCGATGCTAGATAAAGTAACATGCATATGATTTTCATCAAACATGAACTGATTTTATTCTGAAAAGTTGATTTTGAGTTATCTCTAAGTATGCTCTCCGGAGTCACTTTTGTCACTATTTATTTAATTGACACAATTGTTTTGATAGATTGCTTCTTCCTTCTGAAATTGTAAGGTTTTGTGGATTATAATGAAAAGTGAAAAATATTTAAAACAACACTCTTGAAATGTTAGATGAAAGAAAATTGTAAAAAAAAAAAAAAATATTTAAATTAACGAAAAAGTAAAAATTCATCTAATCTTAATAACGCATCTGAAAATTTTTGAGAGAGAAAAAAAAATAAACATTATCTTGAAAGAAATTATGAAACCTGAATAGTCCAATTAAATTTTTATTAAATTTTAAGATACAGGGAAACACTTCTCAACTAAAATTTTTTTTTCAAGATTTTACAGGAAACACGCCAATAACTAAAAAAAAAAAATAAATAAAATAAAAAAAAAAACCGAAATTCAACAGAAAACGTTTAACAACTAAAATTCAATTCAGTAAAAGACAAAAACGTTAAAAAAAAAAAAAAAAAAAAAAACGCTGAGAAAATTTCTTGAATATTATCAATAACTCATTTTCAATTTAAATAACGGCCGATAGGACCCCGAACTGTCACCAATCACGATTAATAGATATACCCTTAATGAGATCCCGTGGTTTGACCGGCTATTTGGTCCATTTACAAAACCCAGGCATCAGTTAGAGCTCATATATTCAATTCGTCGCTAAAGATGCTAGAAAAATCGCCGATTCCCTGTACCACTCTATTTACAAGAGCCAGCTCAGGCCTAAAATGTAGTGCTGCTGTCATATCTGGGCAGTCAACTGCTAAGTCTTCACATTCCACTCTCGATAAAGTCGAAACGCGTCTCTGCGACCTTGTGGGTGACAAATTATTTTCAACCCCCTTTTCCACAGACAAAACGTCGCAAATCTTTCACTGTTCTGTCGCTATTTCCATAGAAAATGCCCAGACGAAATACATTTATTAGTTCCACAAGTTTTACTCTTCACGGCCAAGACCCAATATGCTACGCATATCGTAGCGATCCACCCTCATTCTCTTCGTATTCCAACGGGGAGATGTAAGTCTCCCCCCCCCCACAACTACCGAGCAGCTTCTTCCAACGAACCGCTGATTTGTGGGACAGACTCCCAAGAGGATACTTTCCCGATCACTATAATCTTGGCTTGTTCAAGCCTAAGAGTAGGCGTTATCTTCTCCATATATCCGCCTAAACTGTGCCCATTACGCTGTAAGCCTCTAACTCGAGTGGCTCCCGAGTCTTGTACAGAGTAAACAACACTGTAGAAAATATATTTGCATTTTAAATTTAGATAATTGATTTTAAATAACTCATTTTAAAATCTTAGACCAAAAAAGCAACAAAAAAAAAAAATAATAATAACAAGCTTCCAGGACCTAGTATTGCCAAGTGGTCGCCTAGCTAAGTACAGACCAGGCCTGACGTTGCTTAACTTCAGTGATGTGGCCGTAAGCAAAATATTAATCACAATATCAATATATGTACTTTCAATTTTCTTAGGGATGATGTAGTTTGGTTTCGTTTTCATTTGGGTTTCATTTCATTAACAAATCATTAAAATAGGGAAAAAATGCCTGGAAAAGTTAAGGTATGAAGAAAAATAGTGAATCATGCAATATTGCAGATATTCAGATTGTTTGGAATAAATAAATAAACATGGACGAAGGAGATAAAAAATAACAACCAAAAAAATAAAATTATAATTGATTTTCCTAAAAAAGAAAAGGTCGATTTAAAATGAAAGAAAAAATGGCGATTTTAAACGAGCATAAAGTTGATACTGAAACTGGAGGAGAAAATATGTTGGAAGGAAAAATGGAAGGAAAAAAAAAAGCAACAGCGAATGGGAGAATGAATAAAAGAAAATGAAAAAAAAAAACAAAAACAGTAAAAATTAAATGAAACGGGAATGAAAGAAAGAAGAAAAGAAAAAGTCAATAAAACATCAGAAGAAAATATTACGCGATAAAATAACAAAAGAAAGAAAGAAAGAAAGGAGAGGCGAAAGAAGGCTCATAATCAAGAAAAAAAAGAGAAATAAAAAAGACGGCAGAGACAAAACACTGAAAAAAAGAAGGGGAAGTGAAGAAGGCCTTGTAATCAAAAGGAAAAGAAAGAAAAAAGAAAGAAAGAAAGAAAGAAAGAAAGAAAGGAAGGAGAGGCGAAGGAAGGCTTATAATCAAGAAAAAAAGAGAAATAAAAAAGACGGCAAAGACAAAACACTGAAAAAAGAAGGGGAAGTGAAAAAGGCCTTGTAATCAAAAGGAAAGAAAAAAAAAGAAAGAAAAAAAGAAAGAAGGAAAGAAAGAAAGAAAGAAAGAAAAGAAAGAAAGAAAGAAAGAAAGAAAGAAAGAAAAAAGACAGCAGCGGCAATGGAAAGAAAAGAATGAGAGAGGAAAAGGCCTTGTAATCAAAAGAAAGCAAACAAGAAAGCAAAAGAAAGAAAGAAAAATGACTGAAAGAAAGAAATACAGCAGAGACAATGGAAAAAAAAAATGGCCTTGTAATCAAAGGAAAGAAAGCAACCGACAGAAAGAAAGAAAGAAAGAAAGACAAACAGCAGAAGCAATGGAAAGAAAAAGAAAGCATAAGATAAGAAAAAGGCCTTGTCATCAAAGGAAAACAAGCAAACGAAAGAAAGAAATAAAGAAAGAATAGAAAAAAACAAAGAAAGAAAAAAAACTGACCGCGACAAAAGAACGGAAGGTGAAAGATAGTTTATAACCGAGAGAGAGAGAAAGGCTGAAGAGACAAAAGAAAAAAGAAAGAATGGAAGAAGAAATAGACCTTGTAAGAAAAAGAAAGCAATTTTTTTTGTTTACAAGGCTTTTTATCTATTCCATGCTTTTTTTTTCTTTCCATTTACCACTGCAAGAAAGTAAGAGAAAGAAAGAAATAACGAAAGGAAGAAAAATAATGACTGACAAAAGAACGAGAAATGAAAGACGTCTTGTCATCGAAAGAAAGAGGCAAAAGAAAGAAGAGAAGACAAAAATATTGAAAGTCGTTAGGGAAACAGTATTAAAAAGAATCAGATGTTGTTGTTTTTTTAATTCTTTTGATAGTGTGTCGATGCAATTTTTAATTGTGTCTACAAGGGCAGATCACTCATAGCTGGTCCAATGAAAAGCAAATCGCCACAGTCGCCATTTTGTCTCTTCGGTTCAAGTGGATTCAATTTGACAACAGAAGGTAATGAATATCCATTGCTTGCAATGAAAGACAACGCAACAAACAAACAAAAAAATCCATCATATACGCACATATAGAAAAAGGATTAATTATATACAGGTTGTATCTTGCGGGCGCTAAATCATTAATTGAAATCTGTATCTTCTTAATTGAAATATGCAAATTAAGCCCTAAAGATGACAGGTGCAAGGCGGCAGATCGCACACCCCGCCCGACCATCCGGCCGAGCGACCACAATAATCAAACAAATGAATAACATTCTGACTGATTTTTTTTAACTTTAAAATATCAAAACGAGGTTTGCTTGTTTGTTTGTGGCGGGAGAAGCGTAGGTATGTATTTGTGGCAAGGTTGGGATGAGGGGTTTATTGCAGGTTAATTAGTGTTTGGTCTTTCTTTTAATGTTGCTATTGGTCGTGCGAATTTCATTGAAGTTTTTTTTTTCTCTCCAAATTTAATGTATTTAATTATTTTCATAGTTGTTTTCATGATTCCTTTCTTTAATTTGAAATTTGTTCAATAATTTTATTATTAATCATCTGGTTTACGACTGCCTTCAAAAATGATGGCAGTCGTGAAATTTAAATATTCCTTATGTATCTACTAGATGGGCGCATACTGTAACGATTATTAGCCGGGAAACTGAACTCGAATTCACGCTAAATTCAATTTCCGGTCTATTCTCTTTCGTAGATAACACAAATGACTTGGAGAAAGCAGAGGTTGTTGCCTTTGAAGTGGCTATATAGGAGAAAGAAAACTTATGAACAAAGCGGCCTGTTTTGGGGTACCCTTATGAGCAGAATGTTTTACGAGATTTGTCAAAACATATAATTTTTTGTTTTTACGTGTGAGGTTTAAATATACTTTTCAGTTACATACGAATAAAGACACATGTACAAGAAATAAAAAAAAATATATAAAAAAGAAAATGTTATATATATATATGTATATATTTAAGGTTCCATTGTAATAATTTATTTCACCAGAGCCCTTTTAAAGGACGCCGGATCATCAGATAGCACTTCCAAAAGATGAAACGAAAAATGAAATGAAAATTGATGGGTAGTGTAAATTTTTGTAATTTAACAGAGAGTGTAATAAGGAGTGGTTAGAGAGACATGGTAGAGTTTAGAGAGGGTTTAATTTAATATCTCTCTCAATCATAGGGCATTGAGCTCTTCAGGATTTCATCCCCTTGGGAATAGTAGGGATTACCAAGTTTTTTTTAACTTATATATATATATATATATATCAGTGAACATTAAAGAATAACACTCAGATGCGACAGGTTAGACGCAATCGTCAGTCCGCCTGACGATTGCGTCCAGGATGAAACAGTCTGTCGCCTCTTGACTTTAATGTTCACTTTTATATTTATAGTTACATACGCTCTATCGCTGATATTGAGCATTTTATCCCATAAATATAGCACACCTTGAAACTATTTATATATATATATATATATATATATATATATATATATATATATATATATATATATTCATGTTTCATTAAATAATATAGACTAGTTTTTGTCTATTTATTTTTATGCAAATTCCTTTCGTATCGTTTGATAAGCTTGATAACATTATTATTGAAAATAAAGAAAGAAAGAAAATCATATTTTGATACATGTTTTTTTTTTTAATCCTATCTAAGCTTTTTAATACATATAAGCCATCATCAAAGATGACAATTACATTTCAATATATTAAACAATACAGGGACATAGCAACAATAATAGTCTGTTTTTTGTTTGCATGGCAGATTTCCAAGCAACGACAAACTCGTGCATACGAGACGGTGGAAGCGAAAATCGCACCGTGGCTCATGACATCACACATGATCACGCTAGAAAGCTTAGATAGGATTAAAAACATGTATCAATATGGTGATTTTCTTTCGTCTTTCAATGATAATGTTATTAAACTTATCAGACGATATGAAAGGAATTTGCATAAAATAAATACACAAAACCTATCTATATTATTTATTGAAACATGCATCAATGAAAAGAATACTGCCTAAATACACACACGCAATATATATATATATATATATATATATATATATATATATATAATTATTCGAAAATTATAACATAAATATGTTATAAAATCACTACAAAAATACCCATTTTGTTTCAACACATCTGGTGTCTTATCAAGTGATGATGTTGAATGTAGAATAAAGGGTTTTAAAAGGTTCAAATTAATTAACCACCCCTCGTAAGGGGAAACGCTGTTACATGAGCTGGAATGATCAATCAAAATACAAGTATACGAGAATTCAAAAAACTTGACAACGAACTCAGGTTATAACTATTTAATGCTTTAATGTTGGGGTTAGACTAAAATAGAACTTATTCTAACTAATAAGTATTAAATTATACGATAAAATTTGAAATCAAAAATTACCCTTTTTCAAATTTAAATTTAATCTCTATTAGGTTTTAAAATTATAAAATTACTGAGGAAAAGAGAAAAATACATGTTATTCTATTTATTTTGTTTTTTTATAGAAATTAAGTTGGGATGAGCTTCATGACAACATAAATACATTTGAATTCTAAATATAGGCAGGGGAGGATGACATCTTGCAAAAGACAATACATACACAATCAAATTATAATGCATAAGCACGGATACGTATTTAGATATATACACACACAAAAAGTGTCGAGACAGGAAATATCTCCACGACCCTTTACAAGAAAAAAACAATATATATATATATATATATATATATAAGAGAAAAATAATGAAAATAGAAAAGTACAGAAAAGATAAAATTAGAAAATTTTTTTAGAGGACTTTGAAGACAAATAGATTTTGCACCTCAAGACAATCCACCCAGACGGGCTTAACTACAAATTTAACAACAGAGATAGAATTAATATATAACCCCATAAATCAAGCTCTATTCACATTTCTCACCCACACAGATATGCTTGCGGGGGTGTTGAGGTCTCACACTTATACACACGCCCATACTAATCTATACACTTACACACATCATATACACTCCCGAAGAACTAAGAGATAACATACTCTTAAGGCAGACACATCTCGTAAATAAAACTGTCAAAATGACTAAATGAGTTTAGAGTTGCATGAATCTATCCAGCCTCTATCTTAAAAACAACTTAAAAGAGGCCGTTTGACCAACACCAAGGACTGACCAAAGTTAACGATAAAAAACAAATGAAAACTACAGATAATGTTCATTTTCTTCAGAAAGTCATTCATTCCTGTAGTTCATTGCTACTAACAAGCAGAATTTTTTTCCTGAAACTAATCAAGGAATCTAAGTGAAATAATAAAACAAAAAATATTAATATATTATCGAGTGCGTCAGAAAATTTTTATTTTTTAGTTTCTTAATATGTTTTATTGCTCAAAGCATATGTGTGTGTGTGTGTGTGTGTGTGTGTGTGTGTGTGTGTGTGTGCGCGCGCGTGTGTGTTTGAGTATTTGGGTAGCATATTTTCATTCAAACAGGTCTGGTTAAATAATTTAGACATATTATGCCTATTTATTTTAGTTTCGATCCTTTTAAGTCCATGGATTAATATCTTGCTAGCTGTAGACAATTGATTAAGAAAAGTACCAAAATTTTCTTTGAAATAATTTGTATTTTTAAAAGTACTTTCCTTTCAGTCTTTTCTGAGACTATCTTCAGGGGTTAATTTGTCTGTGGATGCATATATATATATATATATATATATATATATATATATATATATATATATATATATATATATATATATTTTTCAAAACATTTTTAAATTTTCCGGCCTTCTGGTTTTTGATTTCAAATTCAAAATTCATTATGATTTTTCTACAAAATTAAATCCAATAACCTATTTTATTTATTTATTTATTCATTATGTTATTATTCTTAAGTATCTGTCTATATTTTTCGGAGATGAGGTATGATGCGCACTATTTACATTATTCGGACTATTGATCTCATCTTTGTTGCCATATTTATCACAACGTTTCGGCAATTGTACGCTCCGGCCTTCTTCAGGTGTCCTCAAGGACACATGGCAAAAATTTAAGGCGTTATGAGATCAAGTGATAAGAAACAAAGAGTGTAAGTTCAATACCTGGTTAAGGCAAACAAAACTTGGAGAGGGAATTAACAGAAGATAACTGATAACTGACATCCATTATACACGGCACGTAGAACTAGAACAGTCTACCCCAGTGAGCAAAATAAAGGGTTCAGTCCGACATTCCAACCAACTAAAGAAGGCCAGGAGCGTACAACGGCCGAAAACGTTGTGATAAATATGGCAATTATCAGGACAATAGTCCGAATAATGTAAATAGTAGAATTATTTTTTTCTTTATATATATATATATATATATATATATATATATATATAT